ACATGTCCATGAAGTGGACTGTGTTATCTACCAGCATAAATCATACTTGGTTTCAAAAAGTCACAGATATGTCTCCTTGCTGCTGGACTCTAGCATCCATAGGACAGGAGAATAGCATAGAAATGTTTCCTAATGAGAAGCTTACTGAAAGCTGAGAGACCAGAATTTTGATTCATATATCTCATGTATGATCTTAAATAAGTTTGTTTCCTAGTCTACAGCTTAATTTCTCCAGCTACCAAAATTAAAATTAAAACCACTGACCCTGAATACTATGATTTTCTTTCTCCAACGTCCTTCAAACATACTAACTGTATTCACTTTACCCACTTTCCACACCCCCCTCCCACTTGTTCAACAAATAAAGAGTGCCTACCATACGCCAAGTTACTAGGCTCTGGGGTCACAAAGGTTAACAAAACACACAAAACCCTCTGGCCTTATAAAGTTTACATTATAGTGGGGTGGGGGAGGCAGGGAGAACTTGAAAGTAGCTTAGACATAGATACTTTTGGAAGAGATCCCTGTACCCGGTTTATTCACAATAAAATGTCTGACCAGAGTAATCCTTCTTGTCACTCTTTGTAACAGCAGCCCCAGCTGCTAGCCAACTGCTTGGAGGCTTTCAGAACATCAATCAATTCCACAGAAGGACTCAAAAAGATCTAGATAAGAATACAGCAGATCTTTCCTTTCCTAATGACTCCTGCCATAACTCAGTACCTCCAAGAGAATGATTTTGCATAAAACCAATGTATATTGTCCTTCCCAGGGAAGACACAATCATATAGGAATGGCGCAGCAAGCACTGCTTGCCACTGATAGAAATGGGAAGAATGAATGAGCATCCTTCCTGCTATAGAGATAACTCATGCACTTCCTCTGGTGCTGAGCTTGGCATAGAGGGCACTGAACTGTTAGGCAAATTTGGTTCCTAGGAGACTCAGGACAGTGGCTCTTTGCAGTATGTTTTTAAATTCCACCACATGCTGGAATATGAACTGGGGCAGCAGTAATTCCATGGTCCTCCTTTTCTTAAATCAAAAGTCCTAAAGCTTCCAACTGGAAACTGTAAATGAAATTCTAATTGGAAATATTTCTATCCCTTTTAAATAATCCCTTTATCTTTTACCAACACGTTAACATATGCACTTAGTATCTTGCTTTTAATTCTCCTTCTGAGAATAGCAGTGAATTAAAATCTACATGCCTACCCTACTTTCTTTTAAATCACATTATGAACACAGACACACACACAGAAATATAGTGATCAGGATCTCACAGTATGGTGGTAAAAACAATACAAGGATAAAGATTCTATATATGTACGAGGTCACGCTTGGCTCATGTCCACTATATATGGTTTCTGTACATATTTGTTAATAAATACTAATAGGACGTGTTAATAGGTAATATTATGTATTACAGAACTCATTGTTTTCAAGCTTTTTATTGAAGTATAACATACATGCAGAAAAGGGCACACATCATATGTGTTTAGAAGTTCACAAACTGAATATACCCAATTAACAAGAATCAGATCAAGAAAGAGAATAATCCATAGGTTCAAGAACTATAACAAATGTATTACTCTGCTGGTGGTGGTGGTAGTTTAGTCACTAAGTCCTGTCCAACTCTTGCAATCCCATGGACTGTAGCCCACCAGGCTCCTCTGTCCATGGGATTCTCCAGGCAAGAATACTGGAGTAGGTTGCCATTTCCTTCTCTAGGGAATCTTCCCAACCCAGGGATCAAACCCAGGTCTCCTACATTGCAGGCAGATTCTTTACCAACTGAGCTAACAGGGAAGCCCATTTACTCTGGTGGGGGATGCTAATAATGCGGAAGGCTAGGCATGTGAGGCACAGGGAATTTATGAGAAAGATCTGTACCTTCCTCTTAATTTTGTAGTGAGTCTAAAACCACTCTTAAAAAATTGTCTTAAAAAAAGAACTATAAAAATCAAAGAATGTTTTTTAAAAGACAGAATAATTCCAGTCCCCCAGAAGTCACCTCATACTCCTTCTAGTAACTGTCTCTGCCCACCAGTAGTGATCACTACTCAGTCTTCTAACAGAACAGATGAGTTTAGGCCAGTTTTTATACTTCATGTAAATGAAATTAAACAGTAAATACTTTGACACCTGACTTCTTTCACTATCCCCCATGTTTGTGAGATCCGTGCATGCTGTGACTGTAGATCATTCTTGTTGAGGTGTAGTAGTCTATCGTGTGAATGTGCCATAATTTGTTATCTGCTCTACTACTGATACCAATTTGAGTACTTTCCTGGTTGAGTACTACAAATATAAATAGTGCTGCTATGAATATTCTAGCATACGTCTTTTGAAGAACATATGCACACAATTTCTGTTGGGAATTGCCATGTACTGTTTGTGACCCCATAAACAGTTTTTCAACTGTTTATGTTGAAAACGTTGAAGCCCTAATACCCAGTGTGATGGTATTTGGAGGTAAGTCGCCATGTGTGAGGAGGGGATAAAGGTTAGGTGAAGTCATAAAGGTGTGACCCTATAATAGGCCTGGTACCCTAACTGGAAAAGAGTTAGTCACAGAGTTAGCTCTGCCTACCATGGGAGGATTTACAGCAAGAGGGAAACATATGCCAAAAGGAGAACTCTCACAGGGAACCCAACTGGCTGGCACCTGATCCTGGACTTCCCAGTCCCCAGAACTGTGATAAAGAAATTTGTTCTTGGCTAAATCTGGTCTGTGGTATTTTGTGATGGTAGCCTGAGCACACTACCTAGGAGTGGTATGGCTGGGTCATAAGGTATGTATTTATTTAGCTTTAATTAATAAACTGCCAAAAAAATTTTAAAACTGATTGCCAATCATGTATAAAAGTTCTAACTGCTGCATATCCTTAGTACTTTCTATCTTTTCTACCTTAGCCCACTCCAATGGGTGTGTAATATTTAAGGTAATATATATTTTATTAATAGTTCCCATTTCTCATATGATTAGAGAAACTAAACACTTTTTCACATTACTGAACATCTAGATGTTCCCCTTTGGGAAGGGTCCATTAAATACTTTGGCCAGCTTTCTATTAGAGTGTCTTTTTAAAATGATTTGTTCTAGATACCAAATGCTTTATCAGATATATGTAATGCAAATACTTCTCTCTCCTTTGATTACCTTTTTACTCTCTCAATAATGCCTTTTAATGAACAGAAATTCTTTAATTTTAATATATTCCAAACTATCAACTTTGTAGAACTTATTTTTAACATGTTCTGAACATTTGTTATGTCATAAGTGCCTTTAAAACAAAACCAAAACAAAATTCCTCCTTTCTAGGAGCGCCATGATACACCACCCATGCACATGCTAAAATCTGTACAAGGCAGCACTATTTATAGATATTTTTAAGGGGTTCTGTCTAGGGATAGGTCATCTCTCCATACTTTGTGGAAAACTAAGTATTTGTGCATTTAATTACTATACACTAAGCAATGTTTTTAAACACTGATTTAGGCTTTTGAATAACAACTTCTAAGTCCCTTTGGGGGCACTTGAAGAATTAGAACTGAAAATTCATTGCTATGAAGAATTGGAACAGAAAAGAAAATCAAGCATCTGATCTGAATTGTAGTTTATTGAAAGATTATCTTATTTCAATTACAGAAGGAGTACTATATAAAGTTAGAAAAGATATCTAGATGTCATATTCTTCAGCTCTGTATCTTTAGGTTGGGGTAATATTTCATTCAAACACTCTTGAAAACCTAGGTGTGGTAAACCATCTATCAGAAATCTTTGGACAAACTTCCTATCTTAGAACAGAAAAGAGAGATAATCAAAGAGCCTTGGATTAGAGAAACCTTTACCACCAATGAGGTTTTTCCAGGAGAGCATCTTCCAACAGAAATCCTTCAGTTCCCTAGCTGTTTTACGAGCCTCCATGAGACAATGCTGTGATACCTATGTAAATTTCCAGTTCTCTCTCTTTTTTTTCCATTTATTTTTATTAGTTGGAGGCTAATTACTTTACAATATTGTAGTGGTTTTTGCCATACATTGACATGAATCAGCCATGGGTTTACATGTGTTCCCCATCTTGAACCCCCCTCACACTTCCCTCCCCATCCCATCCCTCTGGGTCATCCCAGTGCACCAGCCCCAAGCACTTGTCTCATGCATCCAACCTGGACTGGCGATCTGTTTCACACTTGACAATATATATGTTTCGATGCTGTTCTCTCAGATCATCCCACCCTCGCCTTCTCCCATAGAGTCCAAAAGTCTGTTCTATACATCTGTCTCTTTTTCTGTCTTGCATATAGGGTTATCGTTACCATCTTTCTAAATTCCATATATATGCATTAGTATACTGTATTGGTCTTTATCTTTCTGGTTGACTTCACTCTGTATAATGGGCCCCAGTTTTATCCATCTAATTAGAACTGATTCAAATGAATTCTTTTTAATGGCTGAGTAATATTCCATGGTGTATATGTACTGTCTCTTTATCAGTGGTTTTTACCTTATTCTCACACTGAATTCAGAGGTTCCCCAAATGTTTGATTCAAATTTTATTTTTTTAAATAATTTTTATATTGTCAAAAGGGAGATGTCAAATTTTTTTTAACATTTACAAACTCCCCATGCATTAATTTGAGGTTAAGTCATTTCAGTATAGATCTCAAAATTCATCTCCACCTGTCATCTTTAGTTAAAGCACATGCCCAAGATTTCAAGGTGAATCACTTAAAAGCCACTCTTACTTATGTCTATTTCTCTCAAGAGATCAGGATTTTCTTGATAGTAAACTACCAAAACAAAGGAGTAAGAAATAAACTGTTATTTTTAAAAAAGGAAGGAAAAAAGAAACTATACTCAGGCTACTATAACTGCAACTGTTGTCCATAGCCCCCAACTTTGAAAAATTTTGAGCATAAAACAGCAGGGTCAAAAGTCTACTGGCAGTGGGCCAGCCATGGCATCCCAACCGAACTAATTCCTGTTGGTCTTACCTGTGTCTCTGCCAGCCAGTAGTCTCCCTTGATTCCTTCCCATTTCTAAGCTTGGTTCTGCAGACTTCCTATTTATTATTTTAGCTATCCAACTGCCTTCCAATAAATTCCTTTTCTGCTAAAAGCAAAACAAAACAAAGTAAAAACCCAAGACAACAACAAACTAGTCTCATTTAAAAAATTTACCTTTAATATTAAAATTTTGCACTTAATAAATGTTTAGTAATAAAACACAAGTTTTCATCTGCTTTATAGTTTGGGGTTCTATGACAGATTTTGTTTCAAAAAGAACTCCATCTTTTTAAAATTAATTTGAATTCCTGTAATGGTTACTGTCTTGAAGGCACTGCCATGCAGAGCCGCTTAGCCTCAGCATCCGGAGCTCCTGGAAGTTAGAATTAAACAAATACTACTTTCTTTGTAAGCTTCGGCCTTCAAGAACCAGTTACCTCAAGATCTCAACGTCTGATATCAGTTTCAACACACCCTTTCCTAATCATCTTTTTATTGCCTTTGGTGCTGCCTATTGTTGAAGCAGTAGAAACTAGAGATACAACGGCTCTCTTGTCAGGTGTGGTTCTCAGCATTACAGGGATCTATGCTTGTTTGGAGGGTGTGTATATGCACGAAGAAGAAATGGACAGACATGACTTTAAAAGGCCCTCCTGAATCAAGCCTTGCCCTGAAAATCTTTGTCCTATTGAGGTTCAGAACTGAGCTTTGGTGTCGGAAAGTTCGCAAGAAAGAGTAAACTGGGTAGTTTCATGTTCTTTGTTATTGACTGCACAAACCAATATGATGGAAAAATTGATATATTTGAACAGATGGTATATTGAACAAATTGATAATATTGTGTTAAATGGAAAACAAAATGTTGTCTTCACAACAAATAATGCACTGAAAAACATCATCTATAGTTTGCACTTGCTAGTTAGAAAGGTCAAACAAGTGAGATGGCTGAAATTTGCATAAGTAATATTTCATAGTTTCAGAATTCTCAGTAGGAAGAAGAAAAAATTGCTCAAAATCCTAGGAAACTATTACTGCTCAGTTATAATCAGTACCTCCTGTATCACTAAGGAGTGTTTTCTCCATTATTTTTACTGGATTATTGTTACCTCCCAAGTTAATATTGTACCTAGATATTAAATACAGTTGGTTAAAGATTAAAACTTATCTTTTGTGGGGGAAAAAGTTTAGAGAACATATTTAATGTATTTAACATTGAAATGGACAAGAGATTTAATGTTTAACAAAGACAAAAATATCTCTATATTAACTGAGCAACATCTCCATGGTGAGAATTACTATATTAAATATAAACCCATTATGTAAAAAGTGTTAAAAATAATGGTACTGAATTTTAAAATGTTAAATATAAACCCATTATAAAAAAAGTTAAAAACGTTTAATTTGAAATCATAGTATTGAATCTCCTCCCAGATTCTTGTCTTAGCCTCCTTCCAACCATTTCTATGCAAATCTAACTATATCGTGCCTCCCTAGAAAATCTTTTAAAAACTTTTATCTAACAGGGAATCCTATAAAGGTAAGGTTTAAATTATTTGCGTGACTACAAGGCCCCTGAAATTACTTATCCTACAAGATTTGGCACATGGTTGTGGGTGCTCAATTATGATTTGTTGAAGGAATCAATAAAAACTGGAGAATATAAGAGTCACCACACTATCCTCCATTCTCCTTGAGTTTTCAGCAACAATATTAACAGCAGTGGTTATATGGTGCTTACACATAATGATGTCATTTACATCCAGCACTTTCCAGACACATTTATGTATGGTTTTTTTCCAAACATGAATTTAAGACATGTAAAAGGAAATGCCTCTCTAGAAAACAGATGTATACAAGTTCTTACCCCAAGAAGCTGCAAAACTTGAGAAAAAGTTTTCCTAAAGAGGTTTGATAATGGGTGACAGGATTATTAGGGCTTAAAATTAAAAGACTCCCGGTCTGGCCGTTTTCCAGGCTCTGAGGGAGATGGTGGTGCACACTGCATGGAGAGATATAAGGCTTTCTAAAAAACAATTTTTTTTTTTCTGTTGAAATATCTGGGACTTATTTTTAAAAACACGAAAAAGGGAACCTAAATTGAAAAGGGCTCCCCGACTTTACTAGTCAATGCAAATCTCGGGACTTGGCTTTTAACTCACTTCCCTGAGGACTTCTTCAAGTGTTTCCTCAACACCACCAATGAAGGATTTCTTCAGTCCACGACTTGGAAGAGATGCGGGCTTGAGTTCTGCCACTCCACTGGGTAAAATTATTTACTTGTTTTAAAGCTTAATTTTCCTCATACCTGAACGAATAAAACTCACGAATCCCACCCCCCACTCCCTCCCTAGGATTATTAACGACTTCAGGAGGTCTTTGGTGACGATTTAACTACCTCAGCTAGCTCACGCCGCCCGGCCCTCCGCCCCGCTCCACTCTCTCCCCAGGAAGCCGCGGAACCTTAGTGCGCACGCGCCGCCGCGCCCCGGGGGCGCTCGCGCACTCGCGCGGCGCCGGTTGGGCGTCCCGCTACTAGCCTCGGGGAGCGGGCGCACGCGCGCCCCTTTGGCCCCGCCCCCAGGGGCGCGCGCCCGTAAGGCGGCCGAGGGGCGGGGGGCGCGGGCGAGGCCGGTCATGGAAGCCCTACGGAGGGCCCACGAGGCTGTGCTTCGTCTGCTGCTGTGCTGGCCCCGGGCCGCGGGCGCCGCCTCCCGCCCGAAGCCCCGAGCCTCAGAGGTGTTGACGCAGCACCTGCTGCAGCGGCGCCTGCCTCACTGGACCTCCTTCTGCGTGCCCTACAGCGCAGTCCGGAACGACCAGTTCGGCCTCTCGCACTTCAACTGGCCCGTGCAGGGCGCCAACTACCACGTCCTGCGCACCGGCTGCTTCCCCTTCATCAAGTACCACTGCTCCAAGGCTCCCTGGCAGGACTTAGCCGGGCAGGACCGGTTCTTCACGGCGCTCAAGGTCGTCAACCTCGGTGAGTGGCCCCGGGCCGGTGAAGCACGTCCCGCTGACGACGGCTCCTCTGTTTGCAAAGCACGCTGACAAACATTCTGCCTCCGAGGCCGCGACCCCGTCCCGAGGTCGCACGGCGCTGGCTCGAGGTTGCCCTGCCCCGGCCCCGCGCAGGCTCGCCCGGGCGCACGCGCTCGCCACGCTTCGCCCAGTGCTGGGGCGTGTCCCAGCCTCTGCCTCCGCGTCCCACCCCCTCTGCAGCCGTGCAGGACCGAGCCTGGTCCTGGGCTTCTGTATTCCCCGCCCAGCAGGTGCTTGTCGGAGCTAAGTTATTGGTCCTGAATGGTCCCCCGGAAAGTGGGGCTTATTGACAGGCCTGTACCGTGGGACCACTCTGCATCTGCTCCCGGTGAGAGGGCATTTTAGTCTTACTTCCAGCCCCTCGTTAACTAGAAGGAGTCTTCCATTGGGCAGTAAGAAGGAGGGTGTAGGCCGCTGAAAATGGCTCTGAAGTTTTTATAAAATGCCTGATTATATGGCAGGCTTCATTCTCATGAACATCACTTTGTGGGTGCGAACTACTTTTTTAAGTTTCTTTGTTCTCTTTATATGAAGTCCCAGCAAGTTAGTTTTACTAAAACCACTGAAGGTTTTCACCGGTGGTATTGGCCTCTTCAGATACTAGGCTTAAAAGATATTTAAAAGATTGCCTCTTTTTGGTATGTTTTCATGGGAATATTCTAAGTCAGAGTATTTACTCTTGCTGAATGTTTATTATCTTTAATGACAGAAGAGGCGTGAACATTGACATGGATGCATCTTTCATGTTTTATAGGTAAATGAAAAATAGGCCTTAGGATGTTTGAACCTATTAATAACTGATAATCAAATTAATCCATATTTCAGTAACTCAGAATCTAGATGTGCAAGCTAACTCACATTACCCAACCAGTTTTTTGAACCAGAATTAAAGCTCAGCCCCTACACAGCCACACTTTTACTATGTAGTCTTGACAGTTTCTTAAATTTAAATACATCAGGTGGATTTTTTGCTTTAAATTACTCACATATGTAAATCATGGGGTTCTGGAGCCATTGCTCCACTAGTACTGTCCTGAGTTCATCCCATTAAGGAGAAGGTTATTTAGCGATGTGTAATCTTTTAAAAGTATGCCTTATTATTTGGCTGATGAACTATATAGAGCATGCCCACTAATTTTGAGGTTGATGTAAAGTTGAAGAGTGTAGTGATTTAGAAAATTCAATCTAGAATTATTTGGAGAGACTAGAGTGATGACTAGATTCAGGAAGAATACATTCGTTTTATTGAATAGCATCTTCAGAAACAGAAAAAAGTCATTCTTCCCAAATGTACAGTTAATACACTTTAAGAGGTTAGGAAGAGCATAACTGCAGAGTTGTTGGTAAACTATGTACCCATTGCCTTTTTTAAAAAAAAGTTTCCACCATTTAAGAGCACCTTACTGATTAGGGCCTAATCTTTTTAGGTAGAAAGAAATCCAAAGAAAATAGAATGCCCAGAACATTCTCACATAGAAAAGTAGTGAAAGTAGTAAAATCTTAAGAAAGAAACAACAGCTGTAGTTTTTTTTAATGTGTGTGGAAGAGAAAGCTGAATAGTGATTTAATGGTCTTTATGACCTCTTTAAAATTCTAAAAATTCTGAAAGAGAATAAGAGTTTTAAATTAAACTGCTCAGGTATTTACTTTAATACAAATTGGCTTATACTAATAAAAGGAGGTTTTTTGTTTTTTTTTTTCTGGACTTTTTATTCACCAATTTGGTAATGTTTCTTTTGTATTATTGTCTTAGAGGAGGGAATTAGATAATAGGATTCTTTCTTATTCTGTGTTGTGCTATTGCGCCTCTGGACCATGAAGTATATATTCTTTTAAAAAATACTTAGGATTTTATTCCTTCTCTTCCCTTTCAAATTAGTAATTATCAAAGTAATTCATTTTTTCAATTTTGTAAATAATAAAGATTTCTCTTTTACCCATTTGTTCCCTTTCTTGCCTGCCTTCCTTTCAATGGAAGCGACATTTTACTGATGGTTTATCAGTCTGGGTATCCTGCTGGGAAGTAGATTGAGATTTAAGAAAATCAACTTACCATTGGAATGAATGGGTAATTGGAGACTTGCTACAAAGTTCTAATTTTTTTTAAGTGCTTAATTTGACAGTGGTTTACCTACTGTTCAGCTGACTCAAAATGAATTATTATGCAAAGAACTGAGTTTCACATTCTTTTTGATTATGATATGTTTCAGTCTAGAAAAAATTTAATTTTTCATCAAACCTCATAGATTTTATAGCATATGTGCTATAAAGAAAATTATGGGTTTTTTTAACTGTGTTAATTATGTATGTGGCTAATCTTCACATTTAGTGTATTAGCCTGACTGCATTAAATAAGTAGACTGCAGGATTAAAAAAAATATAGAATTTCTGACTCCATATCACATCTCAACCCCCTATCAAACAGCATTAACAATTCCTAGTTTCTTAGTAAGAGCTAATGTAGTTATTAGTAATCCTTGGTCAGTCCTCCATTTTAGCTGAAAAAATATTGACCATTTGTGTGATTTAAAAAACAAAAATCAATATTTTACAGGAAACTGATAAATACTGTAAAAACAAACAATTTTCAGTATCACCAGCTATTTCTGAACTGAATGTCCTTACCATTCGTTTAAAAGTCATATTTTATTTATTTTACTAGTAATATATTTGGAAAATTAGTAATTATTTCTAGAACGTTTTTCTCTCCATTGATTTTCACCTTTTGAAGTTGTGATAACATATATTAAAGTTTATTTTTTATTTCAACTGCTCCCTCTTCAGTCACTTTTGCCTGTCTTACTCTAGTTCTCTTGTCCACTTCCCTACTACACCCCCACTTGCCCTTTTTTTTTTTTTTCTTTTTGGTTGAATGATTAACAAATAGCTTTATGATGCTAGTTTATGTGGCTTTTTTGTGACATTCCCTTGAGGCTTTCAGAGATTTGCAGGGAGGTATTCACAAGGCAAAGAAGGCAATATACTGTGAAAAGGTTTCACAGGAGTTCCAGGAAGCCCTATGATTATAAAAAGCTGTGACCCAGTATACTCCTAAAAATAGAGAGGTGCCAGTCTGAATGGGGTTTTTTGCCTTATCTCATTGCCAACTAGTGATGCTTCCCCTGATTAATCTTTGGCATCACAGTGGCTGGAATGCAGCTTCAGGGAATAAGCACAAAGTAGTCCATTGAACTTACACAATCAGAAAAGAGCATAACACAGCAAAGATACTTTTACAGAAAAAATAAGAAAAAAATGTAGCAATGTGATTAGTCCTAAGCATGTGTTGATTTCCCTAGTAACTAAAAAGAAAGTGATTTTCCAAATTACAGCTCTTTTTTTAAATTGACATTTTCTGTCCATTTCTGTCCTATGTATGTTCTGCTCATACACAGGAACAGTAAAATTAATATTTGTGCAAAGTACACAATATTTTTATTGATTTTATGTGCCTGTGGTTTTATACATATGTTTTTAATAGTCATTGATTTTAAATAAGTGCCTTACAAAAAATAGGAATTGTGAAAGTTGTTTTTTGTTTTTTTTTTTGGTCCAGCTTACTCTCATGTGCCTATGAGGGGGCTTAATGCAGTCTCTGACTAGTGTATGTTTAGTTGCATGTATCACAAATGGCAGCCTATCACAAATGGAAATATTTCAAAGAAGAAATATATTCTTGGAGGCTACTATTAACCTATTTCAAGTAGGTTGAAACAAGATTTTCAAATCAGTTGTAAAACTATGAATGGGATTATTTCTTTCTCATGCTTGTTATTATACCAAAATCTTCCTTAGAATTAGGTTTTGCCTTTGATTTTGAAGACAGCTTTTTGACCTAGTTTCTTTTAAATTGTACAAAAATTATTTTAGCCATCAGTATTACTGTCCAACTTATAGCACAATAAATATGACCTAGTAATTTAAGCTCAAGGCCTATAATGAAGAGCCTCTACAACTAAATAAATGAATATTCTCTGTTTGCTTATTTGTGAAAAGACTATAGAATTACTTCATAATTACTCAGAGGTAATGAATTAATGTTTGTAAAGTACTTGAAGTAGTTTACACCAGCCTTATCTATAGTTTTAAAAATCTCTAGGCTCTCACAATTGTTACTGTATTTCACAATCATAGATGAAATTGACCTCTTAGGTAGAGTCAATGTTTACTCATATTTTTATAACTTTATAATTTCTTGATGTTGCTAAAGAGTGCTATGTGATTTATACCATGACAAATATGAGTACATGATTAATAAATGTTAATTTCACAAATAACATATTCATTTGTTTTCTAGGTATTCCAACTTTATTATATGGACTTGGCTCCTGGTTATTTGCTAGAGT